ATGTTTGCGCATATAAACACAGCTATTGTCATCAACCAGCTAACAAGGAAATATCTGCATTTCTTTTTTTTTTTTTTTAGCATTTCCTCAAGTCAAAACGGAACTAACATCAGATACTGTCGTGACTAACCATGCTGTTGAGCTCCCTTTATCCTCATTGATGACTCTGTGTGGTTTCCTAATGCCATAATCACTTACTTAGAAGTCTTACATGTTACCCAGGTTCCTATAGGTTTTATTTTTAAATGTTACTTTATTTTCTATGAAAATACCACCTCTCTACTTCTCTCCTTTCTACTTGATCTGCAGTCACCTTGCATTAACAGCGCTCTGCTGTTAATCTGCTCCGCAATATTGCTAGTAACTCATTATCTTGCCTCACAACTAATTGATGATGACCTTTGTTGCCAACCATTTTACCAATGGATTATTGTTTTTTTATTGATTTGTTATGGTCCAAATGAAAAATCTGATGTGAAGTGGAAAACAAAAAGGGAAAGTAGCACCAGAAACAGAAGTAGATGTAAAAAGACTGAAATAAGGAATTTGTTCAGTTCTTGAGAATAAGATTTTCCATAAACAAGTGACCACTTTTCTTTCTGCACACTGTAGGCTCTTTTATCCTTAGTTCTCTAAACCACCCAAAGTGTGACTGCCTCCCATGGTGCAACACATAGCAGCGGAGCGCACACAGTGGCCGGAAACCAGTCAGCTCCTGTCCATAGTGGTTAGGCTGCATGTGGCTTCCAGGCAGTTCTCTCTGCCATTTCAACTTGAATCTGCCAGAGGTTTTATGGAATGCCGGTATGGCATGCACAGAGATGGAGATTAAAGAACGCCCTTGGATAGAAAAGATGTAAAGAATGTACAAATATTTTTCTTGACAGCTTTTTTTTTTTAGATTGAAAATAGTTGAAATTGTGGAGTAGTATAAGAATGCTTAGAAAATGTTTTTAATTTTGTGTAAAAGGCTAATTTTTTTCTTATTCTCTGCTTTACAACTTTAACCTTAACCTAGTCATTACATGAACTGAAACCATTTCCAGGGTAGTTATGTGATTGATGGCATGGAAAACTGAACTACCCCTTAGTCTGTATGCAGAGTGCAGTCCTATAGACAGAGAGTACTAGTTATGCCTGTCAGCTCTGTTCATTAGGGCCAGCTGGATGTCCCCACACCTGAAAAGATGTCAGCATGTCCTCTGTGCTTAGTTCGCCTGCCTTTCCTCTGCTGCTTAATGGAAGTCCTGAAGGGGCACTGAATCACCACAGAATGAAAAGCAATACACGCTCTGCAGTCTTCTGATTGAGTGGGAGTTCCTGGTTTTTTACAGTGTTCAGGAAGCTGTTTTCTTTCAAGGCTCAGTATGAAGTTGTGGATGTGGGTGTTTTCCCCCTGTTAGACATGAATCTTGAAGTCAAAACAATTCTTTTTGATCAAGTCATGGTGGTCACAAGAATGTGGGCCTCCAATCAGCTCTGGGAATGTAAACATTGTGGGAAACTATTGCTGGTATTGTAATACCATGAAGCATTTGAAAATAAGAAATTTAAAAAAATGTATCTTTTGATTATATTGTGCATTTTCCTCCCCTCAAACATGTAAAACTAGTGAACACTTGGTATCCTGGAGGAGCTAATCCTTCAGCCTGGATATTTGCCAACGACTAAGTGCAGTGCCGTTTCCCCAAGGATATCTACTGATGAAGGACATCATAGTGGTAGTATCTGATTTTTCCTGAACCCAACCTTTTCTGAGCTTTGATTTATATTTTTCAACAGAACAGGAAAGAAAAGACAGCTGTCTTAGGCACCTTGACATTGGAGCAATGATTATGCCAACTGTTCCAGCTAAACTCCTCCTCAGACACGAGTAGCAGCCCTATGCCAGTTTACGGCCATGTTGATTTTGGAAGATGACGAGAGAGAAAAATGGATTCAGACTTCTAAGGCATTTGGGCTTTGCTGCTTGGAGAACGTTGGAGGTTTACCTTGGGCGCTGACCAAATGTTCCTACTGGTCAGCAGGCTTTTGGACGGATGAAACAATAGCTGCTTGTTTATATTAATGCCTCAGCAACCAGGTTTTCTGGTATATTTACAAAACCTTTTTAGTTTTTTTTTGCCTTAATGGAAAAAGAGTGCTGCAATTTATACAGTGAAATAAGCAAAGTAACCCTTGTTCTGCTGTCAGCTGAGAGATTTTCCAGCTCCCTTCTTACTTTCATGTCGAATATAGTGTAGATGTGTTGTGAAAAAAAAGAAAAAGCCACACAACTAAATCATGCACTTATTACCTTCAAACCTTTAAGTATAAAGAGCTTTTTCCAAGAGAAGAAATAAAAGTGTAGGTTGGAAAAAAGGGCCTAAATAGTTCTTTTACGTTCCTTCATTCTCTGGAAAGAAAAAGTCATAAATGCACCATCATCTCGCACCAGGAGAAATGGCTTGCTTATTAAAATATTCCTCGCCTGTTTATTTCTACAAGCTTTAAAAAGATTTCCCCCTTCTGGCCTTCTCTACATAAGGAGTCCCACTGCTTGTAATAATGGCAAAAGCAATTAAATCCCACATGGATTTGCCCGGAGGAAGATGAGGACTGTTGTCCTAACAACACAACCGTTCAAAACGAGATACTGAGGTGACATTAGCATTTCCCTCATGTTAACCTGATCCTTTTCAGAGATTAAGTACTTGACTTCATTTACTGGATACACATTCATTTTTCTTTCTTGCAAAAGCTGATGTTTACCTTTATGTCTTTGGTATAATTAACAGAGGCAAAAATTAAGAAAAAACTGCAACACAGTTTGCTTTGCTTTAACATGGCCAACACATTTTTCCTCCAATAAAAACTAGCTGAATATATTGACTATTGCAAGTATAGTAATGATGACCAATGTATTTATTGTAATAAATTCCCTGTGGACCAAGTGGGCTTTTTGTTCTGCTCTGTACAGATGAATGACAAACTCCAGTTGGGCTCTCTGCATGGATAGACTAAACTTTGCTCTTTAACTCCCTGCCCAGACTTCATTTTCAAATAAATCAAACTTCTGCAACATTTCACCAGTTGTTGAGTAAAATGTTACAGGTTTTCAATGTTCAGTATTTATTCCTAGGTCATTTACAAGAATAAAACGTGCAAAAACATTAGTCCGGCTTCCATACCCCATTTAGGGCACTTTGAGATGTCGCAAAAGGCAAAATTAAGTATTACTAATTGCAGTTAGAGTGCTCAGAGATGACCATTCAATTATCATATTTACACTGCATAAGTTTTTGTATATTCTTTTGAAATGAAAGAAGAATCATCCATGAATGTGGTACCATGCAGTTGGCAAGATTAATTAACACATAACTAAATAGTTTCAGTCCAACAGGTTAGTCTGACCAGGGAAGCACAGGAAACATGATTCAGGCTATATTATTAATATTATTATTATTATTAATAATACAGCATAGAGGGGGAGTTTTTTTTTTTAAGTAAATTAACAAGCAAACATTTAGAACACACTGCCTGATTAAGTAATGTTACAGAATGAAGCCTCCTGCCATGCTTAAATCTTTTGTGTATAAGTGATGGTCTGCCCTTGACCCGTTACTGAGACGGTACCAGTTGCGGGAATGTGTGCAAAAATCTATCTAATGAAAAACAGCTGTATTCCTGTCTGTGCCCCTTCTAACTCTTTGATCAACAGTTAATGTCTGTTTCAAGCATTTAAGTTTAAAGGTTTTCTTTTTTAAATTAGAAGGTAAATAACTCCTAGATTTAACTGTTTGATAGCTGTTCTCCCTGGTAGTTTTCCTCTTCGCTTCAGCCAGCCTGTGTTCTGGCTGTTCTGCTGATCTGGGATCCCACTCTAGACAAAGTCATTGAGGGTCAAGCATAATTTAGGCTGAACTCCTAATACTTACACATCGTTCAGCATTTCAGCAGCACCAGATTAGAATGATTACATTTCTTTCTTTCCTGTTTTGTTGTTGCATTTAGATAAATCCCTGTGCAGGAATTTCTGCACAACAGATAGTGTTCAAATGTTTTGTTTTTTTCTTCTAAACGCTTGAAATTGAGAGCCTTTGGTTGACAGAACTTTGGTTAACTTTTACATGTTGGTTTTGACCCCTGCTGACCTCTTTGTGAGGTTTTCCTTCCGCCGCTGCTGAGAGTCACAGACATCACTTCCCATCATCACATGGACTAAAACAGAAGCCTGCGGTTCAGTAAAATGCCAATCTGAAACAGATGTGGTCTCCAAATGCCATGGACTGTTTTTTTCTTTTTTTTCAGCAACCAGGGAAGTGAGGGGGTGATCTTATGCAAGGGATGAAAGACTCTGGGGTTTCTGTGGCTATGTCTGAGTCCAAGTAAATCATTTAGAATAAATAATTTAGGTTTTTCAAATTCACTTGGTTTTAGGTCTTAGCTGCAGCTTTAGATACTTGTGCAAAAACAAAAGCAAAGGATGTTTTTGTGGGAATGCATGAGCAACTTGAAATGCAAACCAGATCAGTATGAGAAACATGTGAATGAAGGAAATGACAAGAAGAGGTGAGGTTCGATGGTGGGGTGGTAGAATTACAAAGCTGCAGCCGCTGGCAGACGGCCTGATGCTGAGGTTTGTTGTGCACCTTTTGTGGTCTTTGGGCCTCATCGTGGGAAATGCGTATACAGTCATTAGGCTGTGATAGATGTGTGCTAAGCTGCTTTAAATCACCAAAAGGGATTTAAGATTGTGAAGTGAGAATTAAGGGATTATATTTAAGGCTGCAGACATCCTTCCTCTGGAACAACTTCTCTTTTCTTTTTGTTCAACATTATAATATATTTTGTGAGAGGTGGTAAACAACTACATAGCATCACTTTGTCAGTTAGAGGAAACCTGAGAACTGTTAAGCAGTAGGAAAATTATAATTATTTTAAAAGTGCTTAATTAAAGGAAATGTAATATTGAATTAGTGTCCTTAATCCCCGTACCTCTTTTTTTTAAATCTCTGCAGCTGGCAGGGCTTGAGCAAGACAGAAAATATGGCTGAACCAAGGAGAGAAAGCACCAGCAGCCTGCAGAGGAAGAAACCTCCCTGGCTCCGACTGGACATTCCCACGGCTCAGATGTCGCTAGACGAGCCTCCTACTTTTGTTCAGGTGCTCCTCGTCCATCGCTCTCTTTACACTCACTAAATGCCTTTCTCAGTATACATCACCCTTGTCGATTGCTGTATGGGGTTATTTGTTTTCACACTTCTCTGATGTATCTTTTTCTTGTGTAGCCGGTGAGACGGCAGGGGTTCCTTCGCAGTATCAGCATGCCAGTAGAGACTTCTCACCTTCAGTCTCCGCCACGCGACATCTTTGACACCCGCCGGCCTGTATTGCAACGCCAGTCATCCATTACTCAGACCATAAAGAGGTAGGAGGAGGAAATAAGATAGATCTAGCTAAAGTTTTTGTCATTCAATGTTAATATGAATGAAATGAGACACTTTTTAGGCCTTTTTAAGAGAACTTTACATATATTTCTTACAAGGCTGTAGTAATAAATCTAGTTTTGTCATCAGATTCAGTATTTATAAGAAACATTCATGAGAAATAGTAAAGGTCATAGAACATGAACTCTTTCAGACTATTGCAGTTCTTTTTTTTTTGCCTATTTCTAAATTTCCATTCACTTTATGATTAACACCTTGATGTAATCTTGACCTCAATACCTGACTTGTATTTCTAACTTAAGCAATAAAACCTTGACCACACTGCTTGCTTTGCTCTCTCTGCATGGAGATGGCCACTGCACTCAAACTGCATTTCTGTTTTCTTTCCCTCTTTCGCTTCCTGTTGTTGTCTTTTATCTTCTCTTTTATTTCCTCCGTCCCTTCCTGGCACCTTGCCATCAACTTCCCGCCCTGCCCTGATTGGTCACAGCAGCAGGAGAGTTCACTTTGAGCGGATTAACACTGTACCCGTTAAGGGGCAGCGGGCTGCACGGCGCAGCATCAGGAAACACCACTCTCTCTCCAGAACTCTGCTCAGGTATGATGAGAATTGCCTCATCCAGCCTTCACTTGGATGAATCTATGTGATGGCTTCAAGTAAAAGAGAAAACAGAGTTTATTGTTTTTACTTTTTTTAATTCAATGTTTAATCGCTCTTTGTACAAGATCCATAACACAAAATTCTCAAGAACCGTTTTTTTTTTTGTTGGGTCACTTACAGCAACAGTCACATCAACACAGTCACTTCTTTTATAGTGAGTCATATACTGAAGCCAAAAGCTGCCTCCTCCACTTAAAAAAGTTGAAGCAATGACGTATTCTAGTAGTTGGATGTTTTAGGAGAGTCCACCCTGTTTTTATATGATAATTATGTTTTTTTAAGAGCCAGAGCTTGAAAGATGGTGTGCCGGTATACAATGGCCTCTTAAGGGTTTCCCTGTCATATAAGGGTTGTCAATCAAAATTACTTGTTCGGAAACAAAAGTCACATTGTGCCTTTTTCCTCTCCTCAAGCTGAGTGTTCAGTGACACATTCAAGCAAACTTGAGTGACGTAACGTTTAACTTTGTAGCTTGTAATTAGCGAAGAGATGGCTAACGCCGCTCAGCTATCCTTTGAAGACTGTTTCAACTTCCACTTCCTGGCCTCGGGGAGCATTAACTTTGTTTGTTCTGGTGCCTATTAGGCTTCCACAGCAGCAGCCTGACTGTGTGTGCTTCTACTTTAAGGTTCCTCAAAATGTGCAAAGGAAAACTTTGCACATTTCTCCACACGTCACCTTCAAAAGTTAATAGGATTTACATTTAAGCAAAGAAATATAAGTATTTAATCACTCTTTTATTATTTATGGCTCTTAGAGTGAGAGAGTGTGTAACTGTACGAGCGACATGTCCAGGCTTGTCTCCTCCACTCTGCCCATATCAGTGCACCTCTTATACATCCTGGGAAGGGCTATTTTACCAGAGGTTGCATGTTTCCCTGACCCACTTCCACATGTGCACAGCTCTTTAGAGGATCATCAGTTATTTCCTCTTAAAGTTTCTGGAAAATTGAATGCATTCAATCTGTGTTTGAAGGGTCTCAGTTGAAAAGCCTCTGATTTTTGTTGTTAGGGGAACAGCTGACTGGTTTGGAGTTAGTAAAGACGGCGACTCCACTCAGAAATGGCAGAGGAAAAGTCTTCGGCACTGCAGCCTTCGCTATGGAAAACTAAAACCACAGGTGATCCGAGAAATGGACCTGCCGAGCCAGGACAACATCTCCCTGACCAGCACTGAGACCCCGCCTCCCCTCTATGTGCCGGCCTCACAGCATGGGATGCAAAAGGTGAACGAAAATGTTCATTCAACGCTTCATTCAAATAATAAAAAAGAGATTAAATATTTTACCTTCATAAAGTGATTCGATACATTATCAATTCTTGGTTTATTCTATTCAACACTTAGGAAGTTTTTGTTAGTTCATCCTGTTTTGGCTTTAAACAGTTGCAACATATTGGATGGAATCCAAACTCGTAAAGAAAGCCACACACACTATTTTAACAACCAGCTGAACACTCTTTATAAAACACTTAGATAAAAACTGACAGTGATGATTACAAATCTAAAGCTATATGCCAAGAAAAAAAGAGATACGTTAAAATATCTAACTGGTGAAAAGAGATGTTTTCTGTTGGCACAATGAGAGGGATGGGATTATACTGTGATTTTTTTATTATTTCTTAAAAAATAAAACATGTAAATGAGGAGATTATTTGTATTTTTTTCCAGTCTGTGACATAATAAACACTTTAAATGTTTTTCCAGATCGTTGACCCTTTGGCGCGTGGAAGAGCCTTCCGAATGGTGGAGGAGGTTGACGGCTACAGCGTGCCTCCGACGCCGATCACGCCTGGAGCTGCATCTCTTTGCTCCTTCACCAGCTCCCGCTCAGGTCTCAACCGGCTACCTCGAAGGCGTAAGAGGGAATCAGTTGCCAAAATGAGCTTCAGGGCTGCAGCTGCACTGGTCAAGGTGAAAGAGTGTAGAAAGCAGGATAAGATCCCCCCGAACTCATCAGATGTTCTTCATATTATTAATACTGTTCCAGCTGCAAATATGCCTATTAGACTTTTTATGTTGGTCTTTCAGGGGCGCTCATTTAGAGAAAGCACTCTGAAACAGGCGCAGAGGCGAAGCTTCACTCCCGCCAGCTTCATGGAGGAAGACGTGGTCGACTTTCCTGATGAGCTAGACACCTCCTTCTTCGCTAGGGTAAACAGGATTTGGTCTTATTTGTATTTAACACTGAATATGCAACTAGTTACAAAAATGTCAGCGCTTTTTAAATGATTTGTAGAGTTCACATTAATGTTTGGTTTTAGGATATTATGATGCACGAAGAGTTGTCCACATATGCGGACGAGGTGTTTGAGTCTCCATCTGAGATGGCTATAAAAGAGGCAGAGGCAGACGGGAAGAAGGATGAAACGGAGCTGACAGGCAGCGCCCTGGATAAGACGGAGCTGGAGAGAAGTCACCTCATGCTGTGAGTTAATGCTGCGGCAGATTAAGTCAGCAAGACTTTGAAAATCAATGATTTATTTACATAAAGCCTTTTTATGTGGATAAAACGAAAAAAAAACAAAAAAAACAATGTTCAGCTCCAGGGTGATTAAAGAAGCTGTGAAGTTATCTAGGAGTACTGTGACAAATCGCTAATTCTTATTATTGAAAACTTGCAGTTTTTTTTACGCTAAATGTTGAAGTTTGTAAAGGAAACTGCAGGCCATGCTGTTTTTTTGATGGCTGATATTGCATTTTCCGCACTTTCTGCTGAGCAACAACAAACTTCCTATATTTTTTCTTTTGAAATTATAATATAATATACAGTGTTACTATTGCATTTAAAATTACAGATATAAAAGCTGCACTTATTGCCCCCCCCACCCTCATTTTTTCATAAGTGTATCTGAGTAATTGCACTTTCAGAAAGTATTATAAAAGGTCAGAATAATTAAACACCACGAAGAAAAAGCAGATAAAAGCTTTAATTGTATAATCCTTAATCCCAAAACATTCTCTTCTTTTAATTCATTTCATTTGTTCCCCATCGACTTCTTCAGGCCTCTGGAAAGGGGCTGGCGTAAAGCCAAAGAAGGAACTCCAGGACCACCAAAGGTGCCCTTGCGTCAGGAGGTGGTGAGCGTCCATGGACAGCGGCGCGGACAGCGCATCGTCGTACCTGTCAAGAAGCTTTTTGCTCGCGAAAAGAGACCATATGGGCTGGGTATGGTGGGAAAGCTGACAAACCGCACCTACCGCAAACGCATTGATAGTTACGTGAAGAGACAGATCGAGGATATGGACGACCACAGGTGCAGCACCTCTGTCTCACATGAGATAGAAAACACCTTCCTACTGCTCCCCCAGTGGGTTACACTACTGGACAGTCTCTAGCCTTTCATAATATATTCTTTTTGTGTCTTTCAGACCTTTTTTCACCTACTGGATCACCTTTGTTCATTTACTCATCACTATATTGGCTGTTTGCATCTATGGTATTGCACCTGTGGGCTTCTCTCAGCATGAAACTGTTGATTCTGTAAGTCCCATTTATGGCCTTAATAAACATTTTTAGGTTTTTACAACAGTTGCTAATTGCTCTATTTCGGATGTCATTGGACTTAGGTTTTAAGAAACAAAGGTGTTTATGAAAATGTCAAGTTTGTACAGCAGGAGAACTTCTGGATCGGGCCTGGTTCTGTAAGCAACTCTTTCTCTTACCTAATGTTTTTTGTTTATCATACGATTTCTGTAAGCAGGTGTCGGACTTTGTTTTGTTATAACCTTTTTCTGTGTCACGTCTAGGAATCCCTGATCCACTTAGGGGCCAAATTCTCTCCATGCATGCGACAAGATAAACAGGTGCACAATCTTATCAGGGAAAAGAGAGATGTTGAACGCAACTCTGCGTGCTGCGTTCGGAACGATCGCTCTGGATGCGTCCAAACTTCAGAGGAGGAATGCTCGGTGCGTTTCCTAACACAGAGCTCAACATTCAGTTTTCCTTTATGATCCATCCAAAGAAATGCTGCAAATATTTCTGATCCTCCCTGTCTTCATCTGTGCAGAGCACTCTAGCTGTGTGGGTGAAGTGGCCGAAGCATCCCAGCACTCCACAGTTTATTAATGGTAAAGACAGGCAGTATGGCTCGGTGTGTCATCAGGATCCCAGGTAGGAAACTTAGTGGAGTTTAAAAAAAAAAGTAAATGGTAACAGTTGAAGTAATTAATGCATTCATTGTATAATTTCTCTCTGTTAAAAGGATATGTCTGGAGCCGGCCTCGGGGTCTCCACATGAATGGCCCGATGATATAACAAAGTGGCCTGTAAGTACTTTAAAGCCCCATCCCAATCTGATACTGATCCTCATCATAGTTATTTAAATAAACTTAATGTTGTGTTTTTTTTCGCAGTGAAAATTATCAAAGTTATTTGGAAAAACTTGTTATTTTCTTGTTTATTGTTTTCATTCATTGTTAAAGTTTAAAATATTAAGCTAATTTACTCCAATTAAGAAAAAATATATATACATTTTTAGAGGATTTTAAATTGCCCCAACTAAAAAATCAAAGTAAAAAGCCCTTGTATTATTTTTTATTTTTTATTTTATTTTTATGCCTATTACCATAATTTAAAATTATGATTTCTTGTTTTGCAACAAATTCATTACTCTATATCTGGAAATAAATATAAAAAATTTTAAATAATATATAAAAAATTATAAATCAGAAAAATTGAGATACGCCGCCAGTGATGAGAGTTCACCAAACACAATGCTGTTTGTTAACCAGAAATAAAAGTGGGAATTTTCTATTTGGATTAATTTAATAAGGGGAAAAAATATTTTGGGTAATATCTAATCAAAGAGGGATTACACAACTAATCTGTCATTTGTTGTTGTGTTCTGTTTTTTTAGATTTGTACTAGGTACAACACAGGGAACCATACCAACCTGCCTCACATTGACTGCACCATCACCGGCCGACCCTGCTGCATCGGAACCAAAGGGAGGTAAAAAACTTTCAGACTGGATTGATCATAAAATGTACACAAACCCTTTGACTTGCTAACTGCTTTGGGTTTTCTTCAAGGTGTGAAATCACATCCAGGGAGTATTGTGACTTCATGAAGGGCTACTTCCATGAAGAGGCTACTCTTTGCTCTCAAGTGAGCAGCTCTGCAGATTACACTCACATATATTTGTCATGTCTTTCTTTGTTATTATGGGATTTAAAAGAAAATGCTCTCATTTTTAAGGTGCATTGCATGGATGATGTCTGTGGACTGTTGCCTTTCCTCAACCCGGAGATTCCAGATCAGTTTTACAGGCTCTGGCTCTCGCTTTTCCTGCACGCAGGGTGAGTCACACATGTTGGCACAGTAGCACAACCTGGGAATGCATTTAATTCAAATCTGTTAAAGAGCATTTCAAGCTTAGGTTGTTTGTTTTTTCTTAATATGTCAGAACAGGCAAGTACATAGCAGAAACAAGTTAAAACAGTCACACTGCAACTAAATACAGGACATTACTGTCAATAATGAAAACATGTGCTTGAGGATCTCAACTCAGGAATAAATCTACAGGTTACCTTCTTTTTTTTTTCAATAAATCAAGGCAACAGTAGAAGATTTGGATTCGATTTATTTTAGTGCTCTATTCAGACAGTGTGCTGAGAGCAATATTATTAAAAGATGAGAATCTTAGTTCACATTCTGCATTAGGAAATTGTATATATATGTGTATCTATGTATGTATATATATATATATATATATATATATATATATATATATATATATATATATATATATATATATATATATATATATATATATATATCTGTATATCTGTATGTATATATATATATCTGTATATATGTATGTATATATATATATCTGTATATATGTATGTATATATATATATCTGTATATATGTATGTATATATATATATCTGTATATATGTATGTATATATATATATCTGTATATATGTATGTATATATATATATATCTGTATATATGTATGTATATATATATATATCTGTATATATGTATGTATATATATATATATCTGTATATATGTATGTATATATATATATATATATATATATCTGTATATCTGTATGTATATATATATATATATATCTGTATATCTGTATGTATATATATATATATATATATATATATATATATGTGTGTGTGTGTGTGTTTGTGTGTATATGTATATGTGTAGTTGTCAGACAGGCAGAAAAAAGACCTCCCATTTCCAGCCACCCCATAGTAAAGAAGCGCTCCATTATTATGTTGTTCGTTAACTTTCTGCTGGATAATTAACAAAGTGGCCTCGCTGCGTGAACTCATTAAGCTTTGCTAAGATGGAAATAGATTTTTGCAGCAGGGTAGAGCTGCTCTGCTTCTTCTAGCTCTGAAGGATTATCATCTTGACACATGCAGCTTTGCGGAATCTTTGTCCAACAAGTAACACTCTATTTTTTATTTCTTTTTTTTATATTTTCTCCCAGAATCCTTCACTGTTTGGTATCCGTGGCTTTCCAGATGACCATCCTGAGAGATCTGGAGAAACTGGCTGGCTGGCTGCGGATCTCAATCATTTACATCCTCAGTGGGATCACGGGGAACTTGGCCTCAGCCATCTTCCTGCCCTATAGAGCAGAGGTAATAAAGTTCTTAGGATGTGTTCTTTTTTGTTTTTGTTTTCTGATCCTTTACTCTCTTTGTCTCAGGTGGGTCCAGCTGGCTCTCAGTTTGGGATCCTGGCCTGCCTTTTTGTGGAGCTCTTTCAGAGCTGGCAGATCCTGGCCCAGCCTTGGAGGGCCTTCATAAAGCTGCTGTGCGTGGTGCTCTTCCTCTTCGCCTTCGGGCTGCTTCCCTGGATCGACAATTTCGCCCATATTTGTGGCTTCATCTCTGGCTTCTTCCTGTCCTTTGCCTTCCTGCCCTACATCAGCTTCGGCCGCACAGACCTGTACCGCAAACGCTGCCAGATCATTGTCTTCCTGCTGGTGTTTGTCGGTCTGTTTTCTGGCCTCGTGGTGCTCTTCTACGTCTACCCAATCAAGTGTGACTGGTGCGAACTACTCACCTGCATCCCCTTCACGGACAAATTCTGCGAGAAGTACGACCTCAATGCCCACCTTCATTGAAGCGTGAGCAACGAAGCATGAAGGCATCAGGTCAACTGTTGTGGACTGAAAGAGGAAACATTTCCTTTTTGTCTGTGAACTGAACGATTTTGTTCTTTTATCCTGTCATTATGGATACTTATACTCCGTATCAAATGGATTTCTTTTACGTTCCCATTCATAGTCATTGTCAGTGCTTTTATTGTCCAGTGAAAAAAAGCTAAGGCACTTCAAAAACCCATCAAAGCACCTGGTTTCTCTTTTACACAGGTGGAAGTAATCGGAGAAGCCATGGCGCTGGTACAGGCTGAAGGATCATATTCGACATTCGCATTAATTATTCAGGCAACTTCAGAACCAGAAGCAGGGACAAAACACATATATAAATACCTTTGGTGCCTTGTTGATAAATGTACCAACTACTGCCATATTTTTGTTACGTTATGCTGAGCACTCGAATGTTTCCTTTTGTTTATTGCTTCTCAAGAAGTGATTATTGTTTTAAACATGGTGACGTTTTAGCCGCCTATTTACCCTCATGTAACTGAAGAGTAAAAAAAAAAGAAAAGAAAAGAAAACATGGATTAATAAAAATGTGTGCTACTTTTTCTAAACGCCTGCTGGATATTGACTTGTAGTTTATTAAAATCAAACAGTGAAACAGTTTCTTTTTTTTTTAAGTTTATGTTGTAATTTAATAATTTTTTTATGTATTTGTTTCCCCCATCAACACAAACTACAGTATAACTTAATGAAAAGCATTAAAATCAAAGCTCATAAGCAACTGATAACAAAGAATACAATTATATTATGTCTTATGAGCCACATTATTAGTAAAAAGCTTTTTGTTGCCTGTATCCACTCAGTCCACTCATTCCACCCAGACATCTCTCATTGGTTAAATGTTGAGCCCAGTTCATTAATGCATGGGTCTGTCATGAGTCCAGTTATAGCAACTGACTAGCAGCCGCTATTCCGTCGTGCATACGCCTGCCCGTTCAGCATGTACTCCATCTCCATAAACTGCATGCTGGACACAGAGATCTCAGACAGCCCTTTTTCCTTGAAGCCGGCCTTTTGGTAGAAGGGCACCAGGAAATCCTCGCAGATGAGCAGAGCTCGGCGGAGGCCTGGCATGCAGCGCAAGTACTGCAGGTAGCGCCACAAAAGAATGGAGCCTTTGCCCTGCTGTCGACAGTGGCGGTGCACTGACAACACGTGGATGTGCACAGTGGGGGTATCTGGAACATGGTGAGTCATGGCCTCCTGGAGTACAGAGATTCAGTTTTCATCATTCATGATGAGTCACAGAAATTAATGTCTTGACAAGAATTTTGATATTAGGAATGATTTAATACCTTTGAAAGCCTTTCTTTGTGCCAACCGGAGCCGATAATGAAGGCCACCAACTGTCCCTCCTCAAACCAACCCAGAGACAGCTCTGGGCACTGCCCCAGAAAATTAAGCACTTCATCCAGTGTAAGTGGACACTCGCCAGAGACGGACACAAAAGCTGGAAGGCATTTTAGATGAGGATTATTATTAATAAGGAAGTGATGAAGATGAAAGGATAAACAACATGCTATCATGTTAAATCTGGCAGATTCAAAATCTTAACAGCATTGCTGACAAATATCTATTTGTTCCATTCCATCTAGATTAAAACAGAAACAAGTTTTTCAAATGGAATACAGGAATCTATATTTTTGGGCCATTTATACGCGCATAAAAATAGACTTACCTTCTCTTTCAATTTCGAACACACTGATTGCATCCTGTGGGGTGAGATTTCTGAACTCACTGGCGGGGAGCGTGTGTCGTCTCTGCTGCAGAGGTCTGACCACTCTGACGGGTGTCTTCAAAAAGAAGGGCTTCAGGAAAGGCGAGCCACTGACCTGCTTTGTCATGTTACTCTTGTGAACAGCAGCTTCACAATTATGTACTGGGATTTAATACTGCAGTTTAAACAATGGTCAAATATCTGCTCACTGTGGGTCCTACACCCCTGACTGTAATCTACCTCACTTCTCTGAGCAAGGGAATGACCTTTGTGCCTCCTCTGCTGTCCACTCCTCCTCTTCCTCTTCTTTGGGGCTCATCTGATAATGCAAAGTGGTTGTCCCAAAGCAGGGTAGCTGTCTCTGCACGTGCCTCAAGAGTCTCTAATAAATCCCCTCATTCTAAATCAGACATGGGCTTTATACTCTGGATTTGGATTAAAACATTTGAACTAGGCACTGGGGTTGCTAAATCAATTATTTGTATTCCATGTGTGTAGAACAGCCTTTTTTGGTGTTTAGTTCAAAATAAATATGTATTCATTAATAAATAAATAAATGTAAAGACATTTATGTGAATGGTTCTTAGTTTTTAACATACCTGAAGAAGCCATATTAGGGTTAAATTAATAAATAGACATAATCTTTAGTTAGTATGCAAAAACTCTGCATCCTAAATAAACCAAAATACTGTCCATTTGTATTGGTGACCTTTTACTCCCCTAAATGCAAATGAATTGAAAATATGGCACATAATATTCCAAAACAAAACATTAAAACTTTAGCAATTCTTGTAAAAAAAAATTGATCTGTGGTGACATCACAGTTCTCTTCTATATTTAGGGTTGTTGTTTGGGCTGCCAACTCCACAATGTTAAATTTTTTTTAGCTAAAGTAAAGATATTGTTCATTTATTGGTGGGTTTGTGATAATTTTCTTAGTAAAACCCACATTTCACAGGCATTTTCCTATTTTAACATATTGATGATACGATATTTACATATATCAAAAAGTTCTTTACCATACAATTTTCATTCAGTTCAATATATAAGTATGCAAACATATGTTGTGATACCATATGCACATCTGAAACAGCTATTCAAGTTGATATCGACTTACAAATAAGACATTACAATTTTACCATTTTATTTCTACTCTCTTACAGTCAACTAAATCATCTTAATTCCACCAAAAATGAAAGAAATATTAATAGATTAACCGTTCTGTATTGTCTTGTGCCTTTTGAATTTCAAAATAAAGGTAAATCTTGAAGATGATGTTTTGTGGGTTGGTGTTTACAACTTGCATCAATATAATAGAATAGTTAAGTGTTAAATTGGTGTACTGATGTGAATCAATGTATTGTTACTCCTCTAATTAATATATTTAAGTATTTTGGATATTAATGTGGCTTGAATTCTGTTTTATAGGTTCTTCTGACTGTTTAAACCCAGAAAGTTCCTTTAATCAGTCCGCAAAGTCTCTAGTGTTGCACCACTTCCCAATAGGCGCATCAATGTTTTATATCAAAATCTGGCTCGTCTCAGATCCATTTGAATTTTAGGCTTCCTTTCTGCTCCATATCTTTTTGGTCTTGGTTTCTATTTTAAAGCATTTCAGATCAATTTAACTGAGCACTGGCTCTAATAAACATTTCACTCCAATAATTCAGTTCTTCCAATCCATATAACACATTTCATTCACATTTTCAGAGAGAAATGTACTGCAACCAGTATAAACAATCTTTATCCTCACTTAAGGGACAATATAATGCATTTTTATAGAGATAAAGAAACTACTGATTAAATCTTAGACTGCTAAGATTTTGTACACCCCTCTATCATTTCATGAGCCAATAATGTGTGTCGTACTATATGATAGGGCAATTTACAATTCCTATACTACATCAACTATAAATATCCTGCCCTGTAGAGATATTATTTATTTCATAAGTGATTGATTTTGTGAGTGATGCTGGGTTATGATTACCTTGAACACAGCTAAACATGCTCTCTCAGCTGAGTGGGGATGAGTGAAAGATGGTGCTGCTGGAGGTGGGGATACACATGCTTCAAAAGATTAAGGGCATGTGGGCTAATTTGTCGGTACAGAGAGAGGAGGGAGATTTATGCGGATTGCTTTTGGATTGATTTCATGCCTTGAAGAGATTTACCAAGGACTGATTAAATGGGAAGGTACCGGCCTTAGGTTAAGCTGTTTATTCACATCTGCACATAACTGTCAACTTAAAATCTAAAAGCACCATCTAAAGTCACTTTAAATCTAAAGACAATATTGGTATTTAAAGATAAAGCAAGTCCTCATGTCTTTAGGAAACAAAATTCCAGCCTTATTTTAGAACAGGTTTTTTTAAATCCTTTAGTTTTTTTTAAGTTTTTGGTAAGGTAAAAAAATATATCTATATATTCATATTTTAGCTGCATGATCACACCTTTTCTGTTGTTGTTTTTTTACACAGTTTAACATTTAAGCAGCCTTCTGACTGTCCACAGTCTCTAATCTCACTCCATACATGTTAGTATATATCTGGACTTCAAATTCAATTTACTTTTTAGTGTAAGGTGACTCTGTAACTGTTAAGGGTGACTGACTACTCTTAATTTTACTTGAGAATTAAATTACTGTAAAATATCTAATTTTAGTAAAATGATGGATGGATGGATCTACAAATGAATAAACAAAACCATAGATTGTTGATGAAGAAAATGATGGTTGGAAGAATAAATGAACGGAAGGATTGATGCTATTTTTACACAACAGATCAGGTGACACAAGGTCTGGTAACAAGAAACTGTTACTGTTCCTTTTTTTTTTATATGCATATGCAAATGTCAAGTCCTGCAAATCACATCTCATAATTATTCGGGTTGCATATAAACATATTAGAATGCATTAATAAATAGAGCATTCTGCCTTTAGTAACTGCATCTTTATTTGTAATGCCTGCATTTTGCTTAGCAAGGTTTTATAATGCCCTTCAATGGACTGGTGCCCTGTCCAGGACACAAGTACCAGCTCAACCACGACCCTGACGGATTAAGCGTGATAGGCATGGCCGGCTTTATAATTCATAGAAATGTTCACTTAAAGGAGCTATTGTGATCAGATAAGAAATTTCCAAACATGAGCTTGATTGAAACCTTATTAGCGCAATGTTCTATGTGAAGTCTATAATTCACCTTTTGTTTATAATCCCAGCATACTTGGAACAGTGTATGACAAAGATCTTCTAATTTGCATGTGCTACTGTTTATTCTTACTCCAATGATACCTTTGTTTATTTAACAGAGAAAAAAAAATCTTGTGTAACTAAAGACAAAAGGTATCTGTCCTATTGAGTTTTTTTTTTAAGGTCAGTCTTTGAAAACAGCCAAACAGTTCATGTACAAGTAATAAGTGGGTTTTACAGCAGTCCAATGTTCACATGCATGCTATTTAACTGAACTAAATATCAGAGCAAGCCAAGAGAAAGCTATGTAAATCTGAATGTTTGGTTCTTTATTACCTTTAGGTTTAAAATGACTGACCTGTATAATAGATACAGTTAGACAAAAAACATCTGGCATGTTTGGTATTCAATCTTTGTCCTTTATTGTTATACACATGCTGCTATACACACAAAGATAGATGGGTAGATGATTTTACATAGAGTCAAACGCCACCTACTGTGGGGTTAACCTGGATACCAGGGCAATAGTGGTCAGAACAGGAAGGCACGGTGTCAAGTTGAAATGGCACAAAAGAGAAGAGGATAAAACAGCAAAGAAACATATAAAAGCAGAGCCAGGTGAGTCTACAAATTCACATGCAAATGCAAGCCCAATCATTTAAATGCAAACATTTTTTTAGATGTGCTCCTTCTAGTAACACAAACACAATTGCACTCAAACCCAAATACTTGAAATAAAATAAAAAAATGCATAATTAATACTTGGATATAACGACGTAAAGCAACAATCTGACTGAAAATTATTTGATGACAATAACGAGATCTTATCTTCCTGCCGCATGAAATTTGAAATATTTAAAAAGTTCTGTAAATTAGCCTCCTAAAACCTGTCTGTGCTGTGGAGCTGCTGTATATTGTAGCATTTGTGGGAAAGTTGTGAGAAGCAAGCAGCCATATTAATTCAAGGCACAAAGATCTATATGCATGATGCTACACATACTGCACCAAGGAAACTAAAGCTGCTGCTGCCACATGAACACGACTCCTGGTTTAGCAGCTACACGATAAGCAAACACTTGGGTTGTCACAATAAGACTGTACAGCTATCAGCCATATCACTGACTAGTAAGCCTGCTTGTTTTCGTAAATCGCTTTGATCGAGGCTCTAACTACAGCTGAATTCATCTGTAGCTCTTATTACCAACCGCATAAATAATGTGCATGTTCACCAGAATCTAGTTTTGTCACTTAAACATTATAGAATTCTATACATTTATATATATTTATAATAGGCTTTATGATCAGAAAATTAAACCGGCATGCTAAAACTTTGAATTAGACACAGCAAAAATATTCTTTCATTAAAAGGAATGAATAAACAATTTAGTTGGAGTGCAAAAATCAATGGGAAATGGAGACGGACAACGGTAAAGCTCTCCCAGCAAACAAATTCTTCTCAGATCAATCATTAGTGTTTCTCTGATAGTTACAAAACATAAGTACAAACTGCATTTAGAGGTTCTGCTCAATATAGTGTTGGGATGGTAAGTTACTGAATAATATGAGTTAATTAAATGTTTTTCAAAAATGGGGGATAAAGATATAGCGGTCATCAAATAAGAACCCATGGGATAGATTTCCTTCTGTTAAGCTGACATGATGAAGGAATGATGAACAGTCCTTCCTAATCCTTTCTTTTCACCCCCATGTCTGGCATCAAATTTTATTAAAACTGATTCCTGAAGCTTAGAGGAGTGAAAGTCATGAAAGGACGGGATGGTTGTAGTAAAGCGAAGCGAGTTTGAGTCAATTGAAATGTTCATCTTCCATGTGAAGGCTGCTCGTGGGACACAGGAGAGGCTGGCTGGAGCAATTTGTGCTCTGACTTTTTAGACTTTCAGTTGAATCCGATGAACCTGTTATAGAAGATGTAAAAGTAAAAAGCAATGTTTCAAATATATATAGATAGGTAAGCACAATAAAGTGTATTTAAAATTTTGTCAATCTGCAACTTCACACATTTTTCTAGCTACAACAGACATGAGTGAATGCAATCACAGAGAACCAGACTTAGAAGGAACAGGCAGAGCCTTGGTTTATATAGAAGCATAGCAGACAGGAAAGCCTACATACCGCAGTTACTCCTCCATACCAATGGAGCAGGAATCGGGACCTAGAGCTGCAAAAAGGTGAGGAGGAACAGAGATAGAATCGTAGGAAATAGAAGAGTGTTAGGAAACATGCACAGGTGAGAGCACACAGGTTGGATGCAAGGCACGTAGGAATCACAGTTTTCAAAGTGCTGGATTAAAGATACTGATCTGGGAGACCATAGTTAAAAAGGTAAAGCCTTATAGAGAAAAAGTAAGCCGGATGCAGGGAATGTGTTTGACGGGGAACACTCAGTCATCAAATACAGAAACACATTTAAAATGGCCCTTTCATTTCTGTGTTGCTCTCTAACAAAACACCCCTCACTGATCAATAGTCATTCTCTCTCCTGGAAAGCAAATTTCTCACCGGGTAAAGACAGATCGCCTGTCGGGTCGCTTTCTGTTTTGGTTAAGCTGCAGTGCTCGCTGCTGCAGTCCTGCAGGATGTCTCCTCCAGAAGGCATTCTGTCATCTGGATCAAACAGATAATGGCAATCATGTATCAGTGTTTCTATTCACCAACAGAAAAATAACAAACAAAGATAAACCCTTACCATCATCTGGAGAAAGGGATTCTGCTACGTCTTCAGTAGCTGTAGCCTGGAAGAAAGGGAGCCAACAAGTGAAAAGTTGGTTTTCAGTAGAGATAAAGTTTGAATGTAACATAGCAAAGAAGGAGCTTACATCTGTGGGGGCGGGGCTGCTGGAGAGCAGGGTGTGTGGCTGCGCATCGGACATCTCAGACAGCTTCTCCTCATCCTCCTCCTGGATGGGAGAGGATGGCGATCTAAGAGTGCTGCAGAGAAGTTTAGGATATTTTACCAATCACACCAGGATCTTAGAAAATGTCCAGTATTGCAAATATAAGTGTAGTTATTTATTTGACCTGTAAAGTCAAAATTCACAAAAAAGGTTATTAACATTCAGACTTCAAGGCTGCACATATTTTCTGAATTATGTAACTGTACTGCCTTTTTTTTTTTTTTTTTTTTCCTTTATGTGATCCCTTTCGAGTTTTGGGAATGAGAACATTCTCTCAGCAGACGTACCTGTCAGGTGACTTGCTGACTTTTCCTTTCTGAAGACTCCCGTCGCTTAAATGCTCTGGAGAGCTCAGCTGTCGGTTATCGCCTCCCAGACCCCCTGAGAAGTTGATTTCATCATACAGTGGGGCAGAAGGGATGCCAGGAGACACCGACCGCAGACCGTTCAGAGCTTCCAGCAGGGAAATGGGTTCAAAACCAGGAGGGACAGAGTCTGAGCTCTACGAAAGGGTTACAGGTTATTA